GCAGAGTATACCCGAAAGAGACGTTCCGTGATTTTTCCTCAATGCCTTTGATGATCGATGTACCCCCTAATCCGGCCTGCCCTGTGACGTCGTCTCCTGGATATCGTTCACACACGATCCCGTAGTTGGTCGCATCGCGGATAAAAAAACAATGCCGAGTAAACAGGGTAGAATAACAACAAGAAATGACGTAAAATCAGTCTGTTGCTTACTGGTCACTCCAGTATCGTACAACACTCGCGAGTCATATTTACCATCTGTTTTATCCAAGGAGATTCAAAGCTCGAGCTCTGAACAGTGTCCCAAATAGGGTTTGAATGAGATGATAACGACGTGCCGACGACGAACGGGATGAGGAGGACGAAAGAATCGGGGAAATGAGCTGACGAGCCGAGGCTCGGGAGGATCGCGGCGTTGCGCGTGAAGATGAAAATGGGAAACGAAGCTCGAATGGGAATTAATAGGTGTTTAAGTATAACGACAGAGACGATGGTAAGGAGAAGGGAAGTAGCAAAGGTGACGGAGGATTTAGTAAAAGAAAGAGAGCCAGAGAAAGAGGAAGGTGAAGATAGAAATAGAGACGAAGGGAAATGAGAAAGGAAACCGTGGTGTACCCTCGTCATATAGTTCGGCAGATTGTGACTTGAACAAGGGTGCAAAATCACGAACGTCTCCGACGAGAACTGTGACGATACTATGGATGAAGTCGATTCGTTTCGCGCGCGCGCGTATTGAACGACCGAGGAAAACGGCTTTGAGGTCTCTCTTTCCCTGTATAAGCGAATCCATCTAAACCTAACACACTGAAATATCGTACGTGCACACGCGCAACGGGGGTTATCGCTACCGCGAAACTAGCGAACCACCAGCCTGCACGAATGCTCTTCGTCACCCTCCACGCTATCCCCCACTCTAGCTATAACTGACCCCTGCAGGTGATACTGTGGTCAGCAAACATTACGACTCCTTTCTCTCTCGGCCGATATTTTTTCAGTTTTCCTTTTTTTTCTTTTTTCCGTTTTTCATTCGAAACGAGACACAAACTTCACGATTTCAACAACGACAGCATTACGATGCTCGTTTGGTGATTTTATTTAAAAAGAAAAAAAATAACACACTCGTGTGTACATATGCACCTCTCTATACAGAGAGAATCATGAAATTCGCCTTGGGGGAGAAAGTTAACACAACCAGTTGGCTCTTTTTCGCTTTTATTTTTTAATTTTTTTTTTTTCGAATTTTTTGAAATATCGTATATCGCACTTTCCCATTCTAAAATGTTCGCCGATTCCGACGAATTTGTTCCGATTTCTTTGTCACTTCTTTGTGACACGCGTGGCACTCGTCTACGATCTTTCTCTTTGATCGACTTTCAATTTCGAACAAAACGTCCTACTTCTTCAGGCTATATACCTATAACTACAAACTGTCTTTCAAATACTTATTGATTTGTCCTGTTAACGTTGCTTTTGCTAGATGAAATATATTCGATTGGTATTAATTTTGATTAAGTATAATGTATGTTGTAATTCTTAAGGATGAGCATATGTTTGTTGGAAAATGTCTAGAAATAGTTAACTGACATTTTGAACATGAGAATGAATAATTTCATCTTTGATATCTAATTTACAGATAATTATATTTTCTTTCGTTTTTTGGACATTATACTTTTTCTGTTAAAAATTAACTACTAAGAGAAGCACTTACTTAAATAAAAATAACGATTATTATCAATACTTGTTTATGAGACTTTACCGCCAATAATATTTAAATAATACTTATTTTTACATTTATATTTTAACATTTATATATATATATATATATATATATATATATATATATATA